ATATATATATATATATATATATATATATATATATATATATATATATATATATATATATATATATATATATATAACAAGTAATAATATATATATATATATATATATCTAGTATATTGCATTGACTAAGATGAGCAAAGAATTTTTAAGTATTAAGCAACATAGAAGGAATAATTCAAAAGAGATTTTTTTTAATAGAATATGAAATTTCGGCACGAAATTTTCGATAGATTATATAACAAGTAATAATCAATCTATTGAGACAATGGAGAATTGATTGGCCTTCCGAATTGTATCAAATCTTGATTTCTGATCTACATGACTTATTATTCAGTAGATTGTTGAAACATTTTTTTATTTCTCGAGAATAAAATGCCTAGAAAATAATGTATCCCAACACATTTGCCTCCACCCACAAAATCAAGCAATCAAGCTTAGCTAACACCTTTGAACTAAATCATTCACCACTCAATCAAGTTTGACTTAGCAATGTTTTCAAAAACAGTGTATTTCAAAACATGTTTCCAATGTTGTGTGAAAAATGCTCCTATAGCCGACTAAAGTCCGCGCCGCATATTGTTTTATTTCTCTTTTTATTTGGTGGCAGTCTTAAATCCACATTTAGTTTGGGTAAGAAAAATCTTATTCAGATTTGTCCGACAAGCATACAATCGGTGAGTCGGTTTGTCTCTCTACAGCAAAAGAACAAAAAATCGAACCAAGTATTTGACACCATTTGTATGGGGAGACTTCTTCCTAGTCGATGGACGGCTATGCTGATGTTCACAGTTGCAGCCTATACATTGCCGACAATCGAAATGTTAATCTCATGGGGGGAAGCACAGAGTTGAGACGAGAAATCGGTGAGTCGTTTGCAGCCCTCAACACCGCCGACCAATGGGAAGACTTCTCGTTACAAGTATTCCGTAAGGTTATTGATCGGTGACTCAGGACGAGACATGGAAGCGTGTCTGCCAGGTTGAAGATGACGAAGTGAGTTAATGCGGGGGACGGGGGAAAAGGTTTGACCCGTCTGAGGCCGAGTCACGAGGGGGGATTCGCCGTTGGCCAGCAAACCAACGGCTGACTTCTGATTCATTGTAACCGGTCTGATACGATCAACTCGGTTTTGAGGCCGGGTCAACTCGCTTCTTTTTTTCCTCGGAGCATCGCCACGATTCCTGCTCGAAGTCATTGTGTCACGCGTGACGAGTGATGATCGGAAGCGACCGCCCATCCGCTGCGCCACCTCCTCCGTCTTCTATTTATAGCCGTCTTCTCGCTGTCCTCATCCACGAATCCAAACCCACTCCTTTCTCTTTCCCTTGTATTCTTCTCCTCTTTCGTTTCTCGTGGATCACCGCAAAAGGGGAGGAGCAAAAAGATGGTGTGCATGGTATCTCGACAGGGCCGGCAGCTGCAGCGCTACAGCAAGGCCGGAAGCCGCATCGTGGTCGGGTATGTACCAACTGTCGTTTGGTTTGGTCGTTGGGTCGATGGAGAAATGGGAGGAGTTGTGGGTGTGTCTGATGCAGAATGGCGGTCGTGTTGCAGGTGCATTCCTTACAAGTTCAACCGCGGCTACGATGATGTCGGTACGTCGATGGAGGTTCTCGTCGTCAGTTCTCCCAAAGGGAACGGGCTGCTTTTCCCAAAGGTTTGTAAGCGCAATGGCTTCACCTCGACAAGTATCATTCTTCGCTAAGATCACTCCTTTACGATCATGGTTTCTTCTGACCTTACAGGGTGGTTGGGAGACCGATGAGACCATAGAACAGGCAGCCTTGAGGGAGGCATTGGAGGAGGCAGGAGTGCAGGGGAACGTTGAGGTCAGCTCCCGATCCCTCCACCTCCCTCCTATTCGAACGGTTCAACTTGTGTTGCTGCAGCAGTGCTGATAGTTTTGTTGTGGGATCATTGCTACAGGGTAAGCTCGGGAAATGGAGGTATAAGAGCAGGACCTACGATGCGTACCATGAGGGCATCATGTTCCCCATGAACGTGACGCAGGAGCTGGGTGACTGGCCGGAGATGCACCTGCGAGAACGCAAATGGGTAAGCACACGAACTCACCGAGTTGTCTTTTAGGTTAAACCGGGCGTGTGATCTCATTTCTTGCACTGGTTCGACGGATCAGGTCACGGTCGCAGAGGCCAAGGAAGGTTGCCAGCATCCATGGATGAAGGAAGCTTTGGAGAGATTGGTGAGACGGGTGTCGAGCTCAAGAAGGAACAGTGCTGCACCAGCCTCTTAGAATTCTTTTGACCTGTTGCATTTTGCATGTAGATACATAGTCACAATGTTGAACTCTCATGCAATCAGATGACTGATAGTTTGGCAGAGTTCGATCATTCTTTAATTCCTTCTACCCCAATAATTTCATCCTTGTCAAGGAAATAAATCAAAGCTAGTATTCTTTTTTGCCTTTTGGGTTATTATTCCCTGTGCTCTCTACTGTGGAAAAGGTCTGTCACACATACAAAATTGTCTTTTGATGCCATCAAAGTTCCATTATTTTTAGAGAAAGCTAAGCAATCAATTTGCAAGATTCAATTACCTGAAAGATAAGCCAATTTGTATTGTTCAAGGAATCATTAGTTCCAGCAAAAGCTTATGAACCAAAACATGCATCACTACATATCCCACTCTCTACTTTCTGTAGGACTGCAACTCTTACCATCATAATCTCATGATGATCATACCCTTTGATCTTTGGGAAAGAGTCTGGTACATCACAAATAAGACAATCCTTGGAATAGATTTCTAATCATTAATTCTTGGTAAGTGAATTTTGGTATAGTTCAGCATTTCAAGACCAAGAACTGATAGTAAATTGACAACAGAGATGGAAGCAGAGAATGTTTTGGGTTTTTAACTTGCCAAACAATCTCTGAATTGATGGATACTTTCTGCTAGATTTATGGCTGCAGACAGAGGATCAAATTTGATGGTGAAGCATGGCCGGTAATTACACTCGAATACCAGTATGTATAATCTCTTGGTCCCAACTACATGAAATACACAGAATTATCTCTTCTTCTTCTTCTTCCTCGAAGGAAAACTAACAGAAGCAGCAAAGAGTGATTTTGACTATCGATTGTGAATAACACTGCATTTCTGTGGACTCATGTGGTCCTTCATGTGGGTACCATCAGAGTGGGGGAAGAACAAAGTGATAGAGGAACAACAAGGAAGATAACAGGAATTGCCTGAAACCACAATAAACACGAGGATACAAACATGGATCGGAGTTTACCGAGCACCTGTCTGTGGACATGAAGCCATTGCTGGTGTCCTGTGAGTGTAATTGTTTTGCCTCAGCCCTGAGGTGATGGCCATATAATGTTCTCAGGATAATTATATATATATATATATATATATATATATAATCCCATAGTTAATTATGATTAACATTTTAATCCTTATATTTTTAAAAATAATATTTGGGACACTATACTTATAAAATTAACTTAGTTGACAGAAAAAATAATATTGTCTCGAACCATTAGTAGTGTACAATGAACAGAATTATACAGTTCCCTCTTGTTATGATGCTCTTATCCATCTCCCTAAATTCAACCATTACATTCCTCATAGTAGGCATGCATCGTTGCAATAAATTAGTCAAAGGATATATGATGTTTGAATGCAAGATCTGAAGCAATCTTGTGTGCTCTATCTTGTCGTAATTAACTTTCTTCGGATAACTGCTAATGAAAGAAAAATTGAAGTTCTTTGGCCTCTGTCAAACTTTCTACTACGTATGTAAGAGATTCAAAATATTACTTTATGGTCTTCGAAAATGTTGACAGTAGCAGAGGGCATGAACAAGGAAGACAGGCAATTATCATCTGTTGAAGCCGAGACTGTGTATGAGCGCCAGGGAGTTGCTGGTGAACTTCTCCACCTTGCGCACTCGGTGGCAGACGTCGGCCTTCACCGAGCCGGCCGCCACCATGAGGAACCCGTCCGTGCACGTATCCTCGCACGTCAGCGCCGCGCTCATCCACGTCAGGGCGTTGGACACCCGCGACGCCACCTTCGGTCCTACCGCCCCAGCCAGCCCCTTCAGCTCCTTGACCGTGTTCCGCGCCCACTCGGCAGCGTCGTCCAGCTGCTCAGAGCAGTCGCGCAGGGCGCCCCGCTCGGGGCCGGTGGCGTTGCGGCGGAGCGCTGCGACGTGGAAAGCGGTGGACCGAAGCCGGGCGAGGGTGACCTTGGCGGCGACGTGGGCGAGCTCGACGGTGCTCTGCTGGACCTCGTTGGCGTAGCCGGAGAGGGACGTGTAGCAGAGGCCCGGGTACAGGGTGGCGGCGCAGCACTTGCGTATGAACTCTGTGGAGTTGCTTCCGGCGCTCGGGGTTTCCTCGGTTGATGCCGCATTCACGGCGCCCGCGAGGAACACGAAGAAGAAAACATAGGCGTAACACACCACCACCTTCATGGCGAAGTGGGATTGAAGCTCTCAGCTTTGGTCTTCTTCAGGATGTAAATGCTCCACAGAAAACAAAATGCTACAATAAGAACAAAATCTCCAATTTTCTCTTCACGAAGTTACAGTGGTTGCACGACTACGTGGCTTCCAAAGAGGCACATACCATAAGATCAATCGACTGCATTTCTTCTTGCCATGGATGCCATAAATCAGCTCGCGATCCAATTGTCAGATGCCATGGGGCGAGCTTTCTTTGTTTCGTGCGGGCTAATGGCCGAACGACACATGACATGGACAGCGACGAATCGAGCGTCCGATGCAGGATGTGGCTGTATGCGGTGGGCATCATCACGTGTTCGTCCAACACACACAACTTTGTTGCGCCGTCCTTTTCTTGCAGCAGCAGCGACAGCGCAACCATAAGCATATCGTATAAGAATTCTACCCAAAAATAACGGAATTGCATAGGCATACGAAGACCTTAACATGAAACCATAGTGTAAGTGCATAGTACCTAAAATTATCTTGTTTTAGAGTTGTAAATCAATAGCCACTGTCGTTCTTATCACTGAGAATGCTGCAAACACCTCTTTTCTAGGGTGTTTTACAAGCCTGCCTTGTTTGAGAACATCAAGGAAATCAACCATCTTTGTTAGGGTTTCAACTTTTGAGGGACCAAGAAGCTCAAAGATAATGAACATGCAGTGAATTGTGACACCAAATCTATATAAACATGTAAATGTTCAGTATAATGAACCAGCCTACTTAGATTGGGCACTCCAAGTGTCTTGAGTTGGACTGTGGGCAACTTGCTTGAGAGGTACGTGTGACGGGTGCTTTTGCCTCACACATTCTTGGTTCTTCATCTCCTACAGAGGCACAGCAGGCCATGTACGAGGGGGCAGAAGCATTTAACACTTGTCTCAACTGCTTACAGACAAAAGCAATTCGTCTATTGATGGAATCGGTCGCAATCAACAAACATAATGCATCACAATGAGTACAGCTTCACTCTCTCTGTATCACCCACACACACACTCTCTCTCTGTCGCAAGAACATGGACATGCACGAAGCGTCGTGTTACAGGAGGATACTGTCGATGATGGTGGAGGAAGTACAAGAAAGTGTGTGTTTGTAGTGGTGATGAATTGGAGAAGCACCGCGGAATGGATCCACGGTTAGAGTTTTACGATCTCAGGGATGTCGACGGGGTATCGGTCGATGCAGTCGGTCCAGGGACCATCGACGGGACCTTTGATGGTGCGCAGGCACTTCCAGACGGCGCTGTTGCACTTGAAGCCGCTGCCGAAGCCGATCTGCCACACGCGGTTGCCGCGCCGCATCCGGCCCTTGGACTCGATATAGTTGAGCTCGTACCAGAGGGAGCTGCTGGAGGTGTTGCCGAAGCGGTGCAGCGTCATGCGCGAGGCCTCCACGTGCTCCGCCGACAGTTGCAGGCTTTTCTGCAGCTCGTCGATGACGGCGCGGCCGCCGGCGTGGATGCAGAAGTGGTCGAAGGCCTGCTTGAAGTCGGGGATGTAGGGCTTCCACTCTGGGTTTATGAGCTTTCGGCCGACGAGGTTGAGGGCGAAGAGGAGCTGCTCCGACATGGGGAGCACCAGCGGCCCCATGGTGGTGATGTTGGACTTGAGCGCCTCCCCGGCGATAGCCATGAGGTCCTTGGAGAGAGAGATACCGGAGTGGCCCTCGGCGTCCTCCTCCTCGTAGACGCAGCGGTACGCGCGGTCGTCCGCGCCCTTGTGGGTGCGGACCACGTGCGCCAGCCGGTACTTCGCGCGGCCGGCCTCGCGTCGGCGGTTCGACAGGAGGATCGCAGCAGCGCCCATGCGGAAGAGGCAGTTGGGGAGGAGCATCGACCGCTGGTTGCCGGCATAGAAGTTGGGGGTGATGATCTCGGTGGAGACAACGAGCGCGTTGGCGCGGGGGTGCACCAGGAGCAGGTCCCGCGCCAGGTCGATGGAGATCAGCCCCGCGCTGCAGCCCATCCCGGAGAGGTTGAAGCTGCGGACGTTGCTCCTCAGCTTGTACTTGTTGATGATCATCGCGGAGAGGGACGGCGTCGGGGAGAATAGGCTGCAGTTGACGACGAGGACATCGATGTCCTTGGGCCTGAGGCCCGTCTTCTTCATCAGGTCGTCAATGGCGGAGAAGATGACGAGCTGGGCCTCGGCGCGGGACGCCTCCATGGTGGGGTTGGGGGGTATGTAGTGGTTCGCGGGGGGGAGGCAGGTCTCCTCACCGAGACCGGAGCGCTCCAAAATCCGCGTCTGGAACTGCACGCTCTTTTTGTCGGAGTTGATGAGCCGCGTGTGCTCCATGAAGGTGGCGAACGGGACGCGGCATGTGGAGGGCGGCTTGAAGCAAGCATAGTCGACGAGGTACACTGGCCGGGGACGGGACATGAAGTACAGGGCGGCGACGAAGGACACCAAGAAGACTGCAGAGAGAGTCTCGATGGGCTTTTCCTGGAGGGATCGCCATAAGGCCATGATGTCGTCGGGGCCGAGCTGGAGAAGCTCCCAACCCACGGCTGTCATGGACCCGACCAGAAACAAAGTCACGAAGTTATTCACGATGAAGCGGTAGCCAAACTTAGCCCACATGGGGAACTCGGGCAAGGGCACGGCAGGCATCTTCTTCTCCGCTTGAAGGCCTCCTCCTCTTCTTCTGCCTCTTGCGATCGTTGGGATGAAAGAAACAAGAAGTTTGGCCCGCACCTGAAGAGAGTTAGAGATACTTATAATAAGAACAGGAGGAGAAGAGAGAGCAAGCAATGAATGGAGGAGGCAGATGGGTGGTTTCAATGACTCCAACCAATCACCAACTAACTAGCCTAACTTACGTAGCGCTTCTCTCTATCTCATGCATGTACACGGTCTCTCTGTGAACACTTCATAAAAAATAATAGAAGACAGACCAATTCATCAAATGAGTATGTACCTCATCAGGTACTCAGTCTAACATGCTGGAGGCTTGTCCAAGAAGAGTTGAGACTGAGTTCCAGTGGAAGTTGGGACAGTTGTGGAGGGTGAGCAGACTTGCACCTGCTTGTGTGTAACCCGTGTTCCAGTCTCTGCAAACACATAAACACGAGTACCAGTGCAGTGAATGAGAGGTATTTAATTACTATACAAATTGCAAGGGCTAATTTGATGCTGTTCAGCTTAGTTGGTACATAGCTTGTGGATGAATCATTTGGATAATATGCATCAGCATGATCATTGTCAGTGCAACTGTCCACACCAACTTCTTCTAGTGAGATACTCGAAGGTCTTAGCTACTCCAACTATCTTAGCATCACTCGGAATAAGAACTACTGGATCCCACTACTCGAAAAACAAAAAAATTGGCATTGCTAGAGAAATATATTAAGACCACAAGAAGCTTCCAAACTGAAAAATACTTGAAAGGCTTTTATTTTTTTCCATGCAAATAATCACAACATCAGAAGAAAACTTTCCTTCTTAGACTATCTTAATCTAACTAAACAATTAGCTCAGTTGTAATGGGACATGCATCACTTTTAACACAACTAAATATTTAGAAATTGAGTGGTCATATCACATGTGGCAACCACTGCATACCGAACTTTACATATGCTTATTAAAATATTTATAAAGGAAAGTTCCCTCTTGCCCACAGCTTGTATCTGATTTAAATAAATCCGACCATTGAACATCTAGTTCATACCAAGAACATTTAAGGATGCTCCAATCTCTGGGAGTTTTAACTGCTGGAGTTGGAAATTTTCAGAGATAGGCACGACTAAATTATACTGCACATTGTGAGAGAGGGAAACTAGAAGAGGAGGATGACCCGACAAGTCTCGGAACTCTGCTGGACCGTAACGTAGATTCAGCTTTGCTGCAGCTGTCCCCCATCCGTGTGTCCTGATGGTTAATCTGATAAAGAACCTGAGCTTGGTACCACCAAGAGTAGTTATTTCTCATGGTCTTATGTCGTAACAGTTACCAGTAGCCTTCATGCTACGTGTAGTAATTAAGCTGCAATGGAGCTTTGAATGCTCAAAAGCCTCCTGCGGATATAGGGAAAAGGATGTTAGATGAAAAAGGATTAAAGGATGCCATATACACAAATCTCCTTGGTGACTTGTCATTGCAGTAGCAAGTGATTTACTATTTTCCATGCTTGAGTTACAAAACCTAGCTCTATCCAGTGAACTTGGTATAAGATATTTTGAGATTTTGTTGCTACTGGAAAGCCTACAAGATTATATATACCATTAAAGGAGCTGCAATTCTAAAATTTAGTTTCTTGCCTATGGTGACATCATAAATGATTCTTGGAACAGATTGTAATAAAATCAAAATGCAATAAAATGTCTCTAATTTGTTCTTTTAGTATAGCTAGATTTAGGTCAAAAAAATCTTTGGCGAACCTGTTCCAAGAATTGAGGGTTTAACACTTACATTATTGGTCTAGTGGTGGTATACCAGACTCACTTAACAAGAATTGAGGGCTTAAAACCTTATTCAACATATTTGAAGGTGTCAGGTAGCTTAGTTGATACAAACTTTGACAGCTCATTACAAGGTCCTGGGATCAAATCACACTTTCACCATTTACCACCCCTTGCTCACAAAAAAAAGAATTTTATGTGTTTTTAACAAAGCATAGGTCTTCATTTTCCACATGTTGCCTTCTAAAATGAAACACCTAAGAAATCTATATTTATATAAACACACATCTTAAAAGTTAATTAGACAAGGCAAAAATCAATTAGTAAGAACTTATATACTATACAAAATTAATTTAGTGAAACAGTTACACATACATCAATTGTTTTTACTATGGATAAAAATATTCTGGATATTGAGATATAAATTAACGTGGAGATATAATGATTGATCATATAATATTACTGACTTGTGATTTTTTTATTATCCCATCTAAATAACTGATTTACCATTGTTTTTACCACAACAAATTCTTTGGTAGAGAAGAATCAATTCCAATCTTCTCCACACCTAGTGCTTAGCTAGTTGTTCTTCTACAGACTGGAGTAAGATGTGCAAATGTCTCACTCAGCTTTCTGCTTGCTCTAAACACTTAGTGTTTCTGATTTTCACTCTGGATTATTCATTGTAACTAGACTTAAGGAAACAATGCTGCAAATTGAAGATAAATGTTAACTAACTTTGTAAAAGAATTTCTCCCACGAGATGCGATAATGCAAGACGTGTTCCAATCATGTCATTTGGTATACCTCCTGTTTAAAGTCTCGTACAGAACAACCAATTTTAGACAACATTAGGATAGATCTGAATCCAACTTTGGTATTGAAAGATCACTTCATATAAGAAACAAACAACCCTTGAGCTCAATTGAAGCAAATATGCAATGAAACAGCAAATGACATGGTGGAATTCACATGATATTGAATAATGCATGGTATTGAGCTTGTAAACTATCAGCATTTGGTTATCTCTAAATTGAAATGTGTCATGCTAGCACAAGTGCCATGATTAAATGATGCAGAATAGTTCACATACGGGCAGTTAAAGACATGCAAGGTTCTCTATTGCCACAATTTGTTAAATTTAAAAGGCATTAGCAGCACAACAACGAAAGATGTTGTCAAAGCTTATAAACATATTAGACACCCATAAGCTTATGGGATTTAACCAAATCTTTTATCATGGTTTCAGACGATTGCACCATACAATTGGGTTTTGTTCATACATAATACATTGAAATGACTTGTGTGAGGGGACATTACAGCTTGTAAATATATTGTGTTTCCTGATAGCTAAAGCTTTTGGATTTGTGATTACCAAATCAAATCATTATGCAAACATATGCAAATGCTTGCAGGAGACAATTCAGTTGTAGGCATTACTTCAGAGGTTGCAACATTAGGCTGAAAGAAACAAGATTTTGGACATTGCAATAGGTTTATTCAAAGAAGTATGATTCATCAAACATAAAAAACAACAAAAACCGAAATGCAATGCCAGTATGGATTCAGTTTTGTTGGGTTTTGTGATCCAATTAATCTTTCCCTTTAACATTACACCACTTCAGCCCCGTGGATTCAACATGCCGAAACAACGACCAAGAATCAAAAAGAATATTAAGAATTATAAAAGACGATACCTCCAGCATTGCTGAGTTGTTTGGGGATGCGCCTAACGCTGGGCCCGGACCTCCACTTCTTCCCCTGTAGGCCTTATCCGCGTCGATACTATGATCATTGATCCCGAAGTCGCAGGAAGGGAGGTAGCAGATGCGGCGGCGGCTTTGCAGAGCAGGAGAGCTCGTTGCGCCTGCCTTTGGCGCAGAGTAAGATGGGAACCTTGAAAGGAAGTCAAGTTAATAAAAGAAAACATGGAGATGAAATGAAAGAGAGGAGAGAGAGGGAGCGATGGGAACCTCGAAGGAAGAAGCAGGGAGGAGGAGGAGACGGGCGGCGAAGAAAAGGGCGGCCATCGCGGAACGGATGACGCGCCCGGAGGAGTGAGAGAATCGCAATTTGTAGGTCCATAAAGACAAACTGAGCCTCCAATGAGCCCAATTTAAATCAAATCACGGAGTATCACGTGAGCCTCACGTGTCTCTTACCATAAGCATCAAAGAATGATCAGTACACGTAAATATAAATAGCGGTGTCCAACTCACATAGGCAAAATACAGCAGCAATTGTTGGGTTCGCAGGCTACCAATAATCTCGACAGGAACACTCGCCGTCCTTGAAATGGTGGTATCGATTCACATCTCTCACTATGATTTCTCTGCCAACAATCGCCGAAATGAACTTGATGGCCGTGTGACAGTCCTCGCAGACTCTCAGGTTCTTCGTCACCAACAGCGTCGTCCCCGGCGGCGTGCTGATGAGACCAAATGCGATGGCCAGCCTCTCGCTATGGCTGCGAACCATGTTCCTCTTCTCGTCGTCGCCCACGTCGTGGAAGACGGGCATCGTGTCCGGCTCGTATCCAGCCTCCGCCATGAGCCCTTCCAACCTTTCCAGCTCTGCGTATATCGCCCCCGAGCTGGGATGCGACAGATCGCCGACGAGGAACGCGTGGACCTGGTTCTTCACTTCGATCCAGCTACAGGCAATGCTCTTCTTCAGGCCTCTGTCGGTCATCAGCTTCCTCACCTCGGCGGCTTCCTGCCACTTCCCGGCTTGTGCGTATATGTTCGATAGAACAACGTAGTTCCCTGCGTCGTCGGGCTCCAGTTCGATCAGCTTTTGCAGTGCCAGCTCCCCTAATTCCACATTCCGGTGGATCTTGCAGGCGTTCAGCAAAGCACCCCATACTCCAGAGTCAGTGGCCATTGTCATGTCTTGGATGAGCTTGTATGCTTCAGCTAGTCTGCCGGAGTGGCCAAGGAGATCTATCATGCAAGTGTAATGCTGCACCGCCGGTGGAATGCGGTAATCGCTCAACATCGAGTTGAAGAAGCTCCTCCCTTCATCTACCAGACCTCCATGGTTGCAAGCGGAGAGGAGGCCGACGAAAGTAATGTGATCAGGAAGCACTTGATCCTCATCCCTCATTCTGTCGAACAGGGCAAGGGCTTCGTCCGCATGGCCGTGCATGCCGTACCCGCAGATCATGGAGTTCCAGGAAACAATCCTTTTCTCTGCGAGCTGCTCGAAGAGCACACGAGCAACCTTCACCCAGCCGCTCTTGGCGTACATATCCACGAGCGCGGTCTTCACCTTGTCTTGGGAATCAAACCCGCGCCTCCAACTCAATCCGTGAATCTCCCGCCCTCTCGGCAGAGCCGCCGCATCGGCCGAAGCGGAGATCACGGTCACAAGAGTAGCGAGAGTCGGCGTGAACCCACGCGCCACCATATCACGGCACAGAAGGAGCGCCTCCGACGGATGCCCGTTCTGAGCGTAGGCGGCGATCATGGAGTTCCAAAGCACGACATCTCGGTTCGGAATCCTGTCGAACAATTCTCGAGCATGGTCGACGCACCCGCACTTGGCGTACATGTCGATCAGGGCGGCACCCACGAACACGTCCGTTTCCCAGCCGGTGCTTACCACCAGCTCGTGGATCCCCCGCCCGGCCTCGAGCGCGGAGAGGGCGGAGCAGGCCTTGAGGACGAACGGGAACGTGAAGTTATCAGGCGCGACGCCGCAGTCGAGCATCTGGTAATACAACGAGAGGGCGACCTCGTGGGGCCCAGTCCAAGCGTAAGCTCGGATGAGGACGTTCCACAGAAACAAGTTTCTCTTAGGAATTCTGTCAAACAGCTTGTGCGCATAAGTCACATGGTCGCACAGGCAGTACAGATCGACGAGCTTGGTGGCCAAGATGGTGTTGTAGCCGAGGCCGGAGAGGAGGAGGCGGGCGTGGAGCTGCTTCCCGGGCTCTAACGCCTTCCGGGAGACGAAGGACCTGAGGAGGTTCAGGTAGTCGTCGTAATGCCGGGGAGTGCTGCGAGGGAGGACTGAGGAGTTCAGATCATCAAGCGGTTGTTGCCGACGAGGAGGAGTTGCGGCCGGAGGCGAAGACCAGCTCAACTGCCTTGGGTGACTCGAGTCGGGAAGGGGATGACGGGAGTGGGGAATGGCGAGAGGTTCGAGTCGCCTCGCAGTTCGATTCAAGGAACGATGCATAATATATCGGGTATAGCCCACGACAGGCGACGCGCAAGGGGTACGAGTACATATATAAAGCACAAACCCGAATCATTCGTAACGGGTCGAATCGGATTTGCTACCCGATCCACTTAAAAGAAATCTTACGTTACGAAACCCCGAATCCGAATAGATACACATCAATCGGACTCTAATTATTTGAAGATTGCACCATTTGTATTTGACTCATTGAATCACAACAAGGTGTTTGTCTAAGTGCCACTTATCCTAACATGCTGATTGGTCTTGTACTTAAGAGTTCATCAGTCATGATCATTAAATAGGTTCGTTTTTCAAACTAGTTATTTGGATGTTTCCAAACCAAAGAAAAAATTAAAATCAAAGAAAAATCTAATAATCAATCATCATCATCACACACACATATATATATATATATATATATATATATATATATATATCAGAAAATCGATATAAGATTTCACATACGTCAATAACTCTCACTTGCATCCATGAAAAAAATTAAATCCTTCATTATATGAGATCAATTGTAAGACTTTTGAATTATCGAGTATAATCTCTTTATATACCATTTCACATAAACCCAAAAAATATATACTTTTTCTCGTACTCTCTTTAAAACCCTAAAGAGCACCTAGATATTCTCGAGAAACCTAAAAACATAAAAGGTATTTCTTGTATTTTTTTTTATTTCTCACACCAAGAATAGATTAGAGATATACGAGATATTTATTAAAAAAATAAAATTATAATTATTAGGTTTCTTCCTCCACAAGGATTTCATAGAATTTTTTATCCTCTCCTGATACTGGCTTCAACAATATCAAAATATTTATCAATCCTAATGATATTACCGTAATGTAAAATTTTAAAGCTGAAATTACAAACCAAACAGATGTTTTTGAAGCATGATCAGTGGTTGAATTACTTGATTAATGACACTCATTACTGTTGGCCAACTCAAAGATCTACAGCCCATTTAAGCTGGTGTTCAGAAGAAACATCTAATGACACTCATTTCTGAGTTGAGTTTTGCTTTAAGAATTGGAAGAAATTGACTCTGTGCTTGATGCTGCTGAATTCTTTACTCTTTTTTCCCTTTATTAACATGAGTAATTGCCAAATATAAGAAGCTGAACTTTTATAGTACAGATTGAATGTTCACTCTCTTTCAACTTTTCCATGCACATCATCTTGGTGAGCTCACTTCTTTTCAGTGGTGGCAATGAATTTAAAGTGCACTTAAATATCACAGTATCTCAAGCCTGCACTATGCATACATTTCCATAACCTTTGTTTGCCTTTAAGCTAACAAACCAATGGCACTAACTATTTCTTTAACCTTGAATTGAGGAAGGTTAGGATATCAAATTAAAGGTCAGCCAGTCATGAATTGAGGCTTGTTTTGTGCTGTGGTAGTTTCTTCAAAGCCATCCAAAAGAGCTCCTTGTCATGGCATATGACAGTAGTTCAAGTGCTACAGCAGCAGAGGCACAAAACTGAGTACCAAAGAAACTATTGACTGAAACCATGCAGAGATTAATGCAGCTCATAGCATCCAAACTGCATTCATCAGATAAAGAGGAAAATAAAAATTATTGGATTTCACAAATTTCAGATGGTTTATTTTATCTCTTCAACAAATGTAAACTTATTGGAGGCTGAATAATTTTGTGAAAGAAAGAGAGAGAGAGAGAGCATTGACATTACATAATTGAATCAGTGGTTAGAAATTTTACCAGCTTCCTAAAGAAACAAGAAGAAAAGTAAAATCCAGCATAGTTGGCAACAATATTTTATTAGGCCAATGTCACTGATGGTCCCTCTTTATATTTACTAATTAATCTCTATTATATGATTTATTTTTTCCTAACACTGCTAGTCCATGATCTACTGAAGACAAAAAAAAAAGAAAAAAAAGAGAATTTATTTGATGACCAACTCATGTGATAGATGGTTACTCTTCATTTTGCATTTGATTGGATAATCAATAAATAATACCAATGGTTAAAACAAGCTGGAAATTGGATTAAGCCTCACACAAGTCAATTAAAAATAATGAGGGCAGATACATGTTTTGAATTCATCATTAGCTTTGATACCATAATAAATATTCTGATTATGCTATCAAACAATCCAGAAAGCCTAAATTGTTAGGAAAGGATCCCATATATACTACTACTACATTGTAACAAAAGAGCAAGTAAATCTTAGTCAATAATAACATCTAAAACATATAACAAAATAAATGTGGATGAGAAAGATTCCCTGCATGAAAGCCTCCCAAAACTCATGATTGCATCCATCTCATATGTTTTATTAAGACAAACAAGTTTTGATTAAGGTGGCCCAACAATATAATTAGTTGCTAAACTTGGCACCAACATATATAACCTTAATTGGACTCAACAACACCTCACTTCACATTTGTTTTTCCTTTTCACAGGATTTAAAATCCACCATGCACTGCACACGAATCTTATACAAATCCTCCAATGAGCTCACTTAGACAAAGTCAAGTGCTAGTAGTGCCATCACTGACCATATTTTTTAGTGAAGGGGATTTAAATTATCTCGATAATTATTTTGTTCTCTATTACCTGAGAAGTATGCTTTTGATAGCTAAAAGATGCTGATTTAGATTAGGTTATGTATCCATTTCCGCTCAATCCAAGCTAATGAGCTACTTTGACTTTGACTTCCGACATGGTCTTCCTAGGTGGTAGAATTCAATCTCATCGCTAATTGTGGTCGAGTTGAGCTCGGGTTCTATAAGTTGAGTTTCCATAGTAAGAACTGACAGGACTCCTTTGATACCTGTCAAGTCAAACTTGAGCAAGTGATAGACAAGTGAGAGGATGAACAACCACACAAGAACTAAAATATAAGAAGATAGAAAGGATGGAAGAGTGATGAAGTAATGTTGCATATAGAAGGCTTATGGATCATGAACATCTCTTTTTTCAGAGAAAAAAGAATAGAAATAAGCATTAGTTAACTCTATGTAGGGTTAACTTTGTGTTCAACCTTGGACATGTCGTGGAAACTGCTAAGTTACATCGTCTGAGATTTGACATCTGAATTAACCTAATATGGAGATATAACTTATATTTCCCAAGAGATTATGAAGATGTACTATGAGCTAACTCGGATTAGACCTAATTGACCCACTTAAACCTCTGGAAGACAAACAAAGAAAGGGAAAGAAATGCTCCTAAAGATGGTGGTGGCATCATCAACTCTAACTATTACATAGGTGTTAGGTGTGGGAGGTCACGGTGTTAGAATAGGGAAGACGAAGACAAAGCCGTCCCAGTTTCTAATGCGTTGCCGTGGCTGTTCCCAAGCAAATGATGACGGACATCTACTTTGGCTTCGTTGGATCGAAAGGAAAGCTTCCATGGAGACAGCCAAGGAAGCATCCATGGAAACATTATCCGGTCCTCACGTCAGACAAGAGACAGCAAGAGTTCCAAGCAGTTCTTTCATGATTGTCACATCCCTAAAAATATCCATG